TGCATATACCCACTTATCTGCCCATCCATCTATCGATCCATCCATCCATCCGTCCGTCCATCCACCACTTAACCCACCCATCTATCCGTCCATCTACTCATCCACCCATTCACCCATCCCTCCATCCACCCACCCATCCATCTATCCATCCACCTGTTCATCCACCTATTCAAACACCCACCACTCATTCTTCGACTCATCCACCCACTTATCCACCCATCCATCCATCCATCCACTTACCATTCATTCGTTCATCCATCTATCCACCATCCACCCACTCATCCATCCCTCCGCCCATCCACCCACTCATCCATCCCTCCACCCATGCTTCCATCCATCAACCCACCCACTTACTCACCCACCCACCCATTGATTCATCCATCCACCCACCCAGCCATCCATCCATCCACCCAGCCATGCCTTTCTAGAGCCAGGCAACATGTGGGCAGATGTGGACTCAGGCTGAGAGAGTGATCAGATCTTCCCTCTTGTGTTGGGACTTGAACTGAGCCTTGAAAAATGCTTGGGCTTGGGTGAACAGTGGAGGGCAGGGGATGGAACACAAGAAGGCAGAGCAGGTGCAGAGGCCAGGGGCAGAGTGGGCGTGGGGGACTGTGGGGAGAGTGGCGTGGAAGGAGACCAGGGCGCTGGTGAAGTCCCCACCCCGCATCCCTGGCCCCAGCAACCAGGTGCCTAGGTCCCACACGGTCCCTGGTCAGTCTGTCTCCCTCTCCTCCTCTTCCCCTCCCATCGGTAGCCTTTGTTGGGCTGTGGCAGAAGTTAATTGGATTTGCAGCTCCGTTCTCAAGGGGATTTGTGGCCTCAAATAGGGATGTTAGAATAAAAGTAGTAAAGGTTTTACAGGCAGCAGTATAATTCTGACTTTAGCATTCCTGTTTTATCTCTGCTGGTCTGGGCAGGTGAAGGAGATGGCAAGAGCTGAACAGGACACTGAAGGAGACACAGGAAAGGGGGATTTAAGAAAATCATGTGCACAAGGTATTCTTTTAAAGAGACAGTAATTTTTGAAATCACGATTATGTCTTATTTTAGTGGGCGCCAACTTTCGATCTGTCCATTAAGAAACAAGACATGGCCGTTGCCTTGCTAAGCTGTGGTGTGGCCATGTGCTCTTTGACCTATGACCAGGGCACGTTTTCTTAAGCTTTGGCCCCCTCCCCTATGTTGGGGAGGTGAATCTCTTCTTTCTCTCTCTCTCTCTCTCTCTCTCTCTGTCTCTAATTTACTTTCTAAATAAACTGGATTTTCTAATCTTAAAAAAAAGACACTGTAACAGCCACGGGGCGGGGGTCCTAACGAGATGTCAGAAACGATTTTCTTGGGCAGTAGGAAATACCCCGGATGGAGTGACAGCTAGCAGCTGCCGTGTTTCGGGTACTGCTAAGCACAGAACATTCTGGCATCTTGCAGCTGCTCCTTCCCCCAGTCCCATGAGAAAGAGCTATTTTGTGTCGCCATTTTTCAGGAGGAGCCATTGAGACCCAGAGAAGTTAAGTAGGTTGTCCAAGGTCACACAGGGCAAGAGGTAGGCCTGGGACTCAGAGCCGGAGGTGCCTAGCTCAAAAAGGCCTTTTCCCTCCTTTGCTGCCTCTGGCTCAGCTCACTTGGCAGGGCAGGTGGGCTTCATCTGAATGTCAAGTGTGATGGAGGAGTAGAGAGCCCTGTGTTCCGAAAGACTGCAACGGGCTTCAAGGCTAAGAGTGCTGCAGTTGATTAGTGATGTCTGCCCGGGCACAGGACTGGCGGGAGGTGTGTACGTAGGGTGGATTTCCTTACAATGTGAGTGTACCTTTCGGATGACTTGGCAGGGTGGGTCCCAGAGGTGGAGTCCCCAAGTGGCTGCCCCATACCTGCTGATCCCCTCCAGGGCTCCATGCGACAGCTTGCTTCTTCCAAACCTTAACCCACACCCTGTGTTAGAGTCTGGACAGGATCATGCCTTGTAACACCAAGAACTTGTATATGTGTTTCCTCCTCTCTACGTTTCACCCAGAAGCATTTCAGCACTTCGCTACCATGTCATTTTATACACAACATCCTTTTTGGGGGGAGGTGGGGTTTGGAGTCTCACTCTGTTGTTCCGGTCAGAGTGCAGTGGCATGATCACAGCTACTGCAACCTTGACTTCCTGGGCTCAGGCAGTCCTCCTGCCTCAGCCTCCTGAGCAGCTGGGATGATAGGCATTCACCACCACACCCAGCTAGTTAGTTATTTTATTCTACAACAATTTATTCTACAACAGTAGAGGCAGGGTCTTGCTATGTTGCCCGGGCTGGTCTCAAACTCCTGGGCTCAAGCAATCCTCCTGCCTTGGCCTCCCAAACTGCTGGGATTACAGGTATGAGCCACTGTGCCCAGCTGAAATTGTTTACGTAAATAAGAATTTTGATGGCGTGTTTCCTAATTTTGGAAGTAATGCTGTTCATCGTCGAAAATTTGGGAAAAGCAGAAATGACCGCTGAGAGGATTGGAGAGAGGGTGGCTCCACCTGGGGTGGGGGAGCTAACATGGGGGCAGGGACAGGACAGAGTCTGCCCTGGCAGTGGGATTTCTTGCCGAGTCTCAGCCTGGCCCGAGCTTCCCCAGCCCTCGGCCCCTTGTGCTCCAGCAAATCCCGTGGTCACTTGCGCCTGGTCTGGTCCTGCAGACTGTGGCTCTCAGCTTCACCTCCCATCAGCCTCTCGGGATCTGGACCAGCCTGGGGCTTCGCGTATTGCGGAAAGAAATGGATCCTCCAAGGGGTTCCCTGCCCAGGAGCGATGCCAAGTTAGCCATGGAGCCCTGGTGGCAAGAATGTCGTGGTGGCCTCATCCCCTGTGACTTGGGGACACATACCTCCACTGGGGGGTGCTGCAGTCAGGAGGGGAGAGAGCCCACAGCACAGAGGTTAGCACAGAGGTTAGGCCCGGCCACACCGTCCCCGTGGACTCTGGCTGCTGCCACAAATCCACAGGGAAACATGGACCAGTGGTTGGCAGGTCTGCCTGAGGGGCCTCAGACCTAAGGACCAGGGTCCCTTCGTGTCTGTGACAGAGCCAGGTGGGACCCTGGCCTCCAGCTCCCGGCCCAGTGGACTTCCCCCCACCCCCCAAGCATCGACCCCGGCCTCGCCTCGCTGGTGGAGTCTGCCGAGGCGTGGACATCCATCCCTGCTGAGTCTTGGACGGAGCAAACACCAGCCTGACCCCAGGCGAGGAACAGGTCTCAGCTGGCAGCCGGGCCAGGGCAGCCCGCAGCCGGGGTCTCCTGCCCTGCCACAGATCTAGTGAAAGATTTCCTACAGAGCACACACCCTGGGGCGCAGGGGGACGTCTGGCTTAATTAAGGGGCCTTTTTGTCTCCTAGACATGCGTTGCTTTGGGTCTCTTGCTTCTGAGACTCCTGCAGCCCCTTCCTCATTCTGGTGCTGGATCTGCCTCTCCCGCCCCGTGCTCCCTCCTGGGGCTGGCCGGCATCATTTCTGGCTCTGTGTGGCTGGTCCGCGCTGGGCTTTCGCACGGAGGCCCGTCCACTTGGGGCCACACCCATCTGCCTGCGGAGGACAGAGCAGAGCGATGCTTAAGGTTGGAGGGGAAGGAAAACTTCGTCCTGATCCCCGTCCAGGTTCTGTGGCTGTGGACGAATTCAGTGGACCCAAGGCAGGTGAACAGGAGCAAAGCTGTTTTAATGGCGTACATACGCACGAGACTCCCACGGCATGAGACTCAAGGAAGGGCATGGAGGATTGAAGTTTTTCTTTCTTTTTTTTGCAGACAGGGCCTTGCTCTGTTGCCCTGGCTGGAGTGCGGTAGTGTGATCATAGCACACTGTAGGCTCAGACTCCTGGGCTCAGGTGATCCTCTTGCCTCAGCCCCCCCAGTAGCTGGGACTGTAGGTGCCAGCCACCCTGCCTGGTGAATTTAAAATTTTTATAGCGATAGGGTCTCGCTATGTTGCCCAGGCTGGTCTGGAACTCCTGAGCTCAAGCAGTCCTATTGCCTTGGCCTCCCAGAGTGCTGGAATTATGGGTGTGAGCCATTGCACTCAGCCTGAAGTTTATGTAATTTTATTTAACTTTTGAGTCAGAGTCCCCACTCTGTCACCCAGGCTGGAGTGCAGTGGCACGATCACGGCTCACCACAGCCTCCACCTCCTGGGCTCAGGCGATCCTGCCGCCTCAGCCTCCTGAGTAGCTGGAGCTACAGGTGCACACCACACCTGGCTAATTTTTTGATTTGTTGTAGAGACGAAGTCTTGCTATATTGCCCAGGTGGGTCTCAAACTTCTGACCTCAAGCAGCCCTCCTGCCTCAACCTGCCTCCCTAAGTGCTGGGATGACAGGCGTGAGCCACCGCACCTGGCCTGAAGTTCATATATGTGTTTAAACACCATCCTGAGGGTGGTCCGGGGCTTCTGAGGGGTGAGGGGAGGGCGTGTCGTTCCCTCCATGGGCACCGCTGCGTTCCCTCTGTGGTTGGTTTCCCACACGTCTCCTCTCTTGGGGTCCCCCTTCCTGGGAGGGGAGGCGACTGGTCCTTGGGAGCAGGCAGGGAGTCAGAAGGTCTGAGGGCTTTTCAGGGCCCATCCTGACCTCACCCCAGGCCCTGGTGGGCAGGTGGGTGGGGGTCCCACTGCCCTCAGAGCCCTGAAGCTACCCTTCCCTCCAGAATCCCCTCCCCCACCCCAGGTGTCCCCGAAGCCCTCGTCCTGCTTCCAGAACCCCTGCAGTGAGAGCGCAGTTACACATGAAGGCAGGTTTCTACATGACAAAAGCCCTTGGCAGGGCGAGCCGGCGCAGGTCTCCTGATCTGTGGACCTCCACAGGGTCGGCTTGTCCTGTGACGTGGATCAGCGCCATCCCACCCCGTGTCCTTTGAGAATGGATGAGGGTTTTTTGGCGCCTCCCGGCAGGGCCGAGCAAACTCCAGGTGGATTCCAGGCAGACCCCTGGGCTGGCTGTGCTGGTACCTGCTCACCTCTCTCTCCCCTTCTCTCCGCAGGCCTTTTCCCTCGGAGGAGACCACAGAAAATGACGATGACGTCTATCGCAGCCTGGAGGAGTTGGCCGAGTAAGACAGCAGGCATCAGGGAGGGAGGGAGGGAGGGAGGGAAGGAGGGAAGGAGGGAGCCAGGCACTTCTTGGAGTGCTCGGGGAGTTGGAAGAAATCATGGTGGCCAGCCTGGAGAAATCGGTCGAGTAAGACAGCAGGCGGCAAGAGGGCAGGGGAGGAGGGACAGAGGGAGGAAAGGAGACACTTCTTGGTGTGCCCAGAGAGTCAGGAAAAGCCATGGCGGCCAGCCTGGGGGCAGAGCTGGTCTTTGACTGTTCTCGCCCAGGGCGTCTCCGTGCGGCTGGTCGTGGCGTGATCTCCCACACTGGGTAGGAAGGTGTCCTTCCGCGAGACCTCACAGAGATGAGCAGTTCCTTACACCCGCTCCGTACATTCTAGAAAGGCACCTGGCCCCTCTGATGGGCGGCACGGGCGTTGGCCCGTTGGCCCCAGCAGGTTCCTTCCAGGTCAGAGGTCCGTGAGGGCCTGTCTCTGCAGAGCTGCCGGGCTGGAGGGTGGCTCGGATGGGCTGCGGTCCTGGGAAGCTGTGTGGGTGAGGAGGGCTGGCGTTTCCAGACGCCGAGGCCCCCGGAGTGCAGGCTGCAAGCAACGGACTTTGGGCCTCGGGGCCCAAGACAGGCCACGGAAGCCGTAGGGAGCGCCGTTTCCTTGGTGGACACGTGTCTGCTTTCCCGTGGCCCCCTTGTGCCTGTCTCTAAGAGGACTCTGTCTCACCACGCACTGCCTACGCCTGACCACTCTACCCCATGGTCTGTGGCCCTGCAGCGACCATGGGAGTCCTGGCCTGGCGCCGCGGAGTCAACTGTGGCCGGGGTGGGGTCGCGTGACCCGCCGCCGGGAGCAGGGAGGCCTGGGAGGGAGGAGGGGCGCCCCACCCTCGGGTGAGGGATCGAGGCTCAGCAGTGTTCTCGTGGCTCCCGGCCAGGCCTGCCCGCTGCCCTCCCAGGCCAGGTGGGAACCAGCCTTCGGGGGCTTTCTGGCCGCCCGGGAGCCTTGTTCCTGTGGGACAGCTTTGCCTTTGGTTGCTGTCAGACGACCTGTTCCTTCCAGGAGTCTCTTACTGCTTGTCTCTCCCTTCTTCTTAGAGCTCAGGCTGAGAACGAGACTCAGTTCTGAGAGTAAGAGCAAATCCAGCATTTATTGAGTACCTGCTGTTTGTGGCACGGGGTGGGAGGCTCTGCCTGTCAATCACCCCACACCCAGGGCTGCCTCCACTGTAGGGCCCAGGAAAGGGCTGTGCGCAGGGTCGGTGGCTAGATGAGCAATTTCAGTCACCCCCAAGTCAGCCTGTCACCCCCAACTGGCGGCCTGGTCTCCTGCAATTCTGTGAAAGATATTCCTCACCCCCCACAGCTGGGGTCGTCGGTGGTGGCCTGTCCTCCAGACACTGAGCTCCTTGGGACATCGGGTCTGCTCAGGGTGGACTAGAGGATGAAGGAGCATTTTGAAGGGGAGTTAGCTGTCCAGGGTCCACACAGGCTGGAGTGCCCACACTGACCAGTCTCAGAATTGGAGAGGGACATAGTCAAGCTTTGTTTGTTTTTTGAGTCGGGGTCTCACTCTGTTGCCCAGACTGAAGTGCAGTGTCATGATCATGGCTGCCGTAGCCTCGGCCTCCTGGACTCAGGCGATCCTCCCCCCTCAGCCTCCCGAGTAGCTGGGACTACAGGCGTGTGTCACCACACCTGGCTGATTTTTTGATTTATTGTAGAACTGAGATCTTGCCTTGTTGCCTAGGCTGGTCTCGAACCCTTGAGCTGGGAAACAGGCCCACTTCCACCCACGGGGCTTCCTGAGGTTGCACCAGGGACTGCCCACCTCAGCCCTGGAGATGGTGAGGAGAAAGAGGCTCAGAGAGGTTGGGGTGCTGGCTGGTGGTGGCACAGCCAGCGAGATGAGGACCCTGCCCTCGGCGAGTCTGCAGCTGCGCTGGCCTGCCGAGCTCAAGGGTTGCAGCTGCCCCTCCCTCCCTCCCTTACTGGTATTCTCTGCCTTGGAAGTCCTCCTCATCTACTGGGTCCAGGCC